ATCAGAACCTCTGGATCAGAACCTTTGGATCAGAACCTCTGGATCAGAACCTCTGGATCAGAACCTCTGGATCAGAACCTTTGGATCAGAACCTCTGGATCAGAACCTCTGGATCAGAACCTCTGGATCAGAACCTTTGGATCAGAACCTCTGGATCAGAACCTCTGGATCAGAACCTCTGGATCAGAACCTTTGGATCAGAACCTCTGGATCAGATCCTCTGGATCAGAACCTCTGGATCAGAACCTCTGGATCAGAACCTCTGGATCAGAACCTCTGGATCAGAACCTTTGGATCAGAACCTCTGGATCAGATCCTCTGGATCAGAACCTTTGGATCAGAACCTCTGGATCAGAACCTCTGGATCAGATCCTCTGGATCAGAACCTCCTCAGTCTTGCGGCTCTTGTCCTGACCTGGACTCTGCTCCACACAGAGCTGCAGGTTATTTATAGAGGAGGTGGCTCTGAGTCTATGTTTGGACCTGTGGCCCCCCCTCACCGGGCCTGGTCTGTACAGAACCACCCCCCCACAGACTCTGGACCGGTCTGGTCCACTGCTGGAATGTGGGTCTGAGTTATTTTTAGCAGATGATGAGCAGCAGTTGTTGTTCAGCCTGACAAGAAGTTTCCACCTAACAGCAGCTGTTTCACAATGGCTGACAGACTCCGCCCACCCAGACTCCACCCACTCACAGACTCCGCCCACCCAGACTCCACCCACTCACAGACTCCGCCCATACGCCATTTTTACTGTAAGAGCTGCAGCTACCAAACAAAAGATAAAAAAAAACCAATCAGATGTTTCAAACATTAAATGTGTCAGGTTCTGTTCAGGTTGACCCATCTCCAGGTCCGTCTAACAGTCCAGAACTGGACCTTCAGCTTTCAGTTCACACCGAGGTCTGACCTCCTGACCTGGTTAAAGACCTCAGGTGAGACAGGTTCAGACCCCAGACTCTGGACCTGACAGGTTCTGGAGGATCTTTAGTCTCAGTCTGGTCTGGAATGAACCGGGCCTCCAGTTTATCTTTAAACTGTTTGTTTGTGTCTCAGCTGACTGAATGTGATGATGTTGTTGTTTTAGTTGATGTTTGCTGCTCGTCTGTTTGTTCAGGAACTCCTGGAGGAAAAGGTTCTGATGGACGACATGAAACCTGCAGGAGATCAGAACCGGTCCAGAACTGCAGTCCAGGTCCAAGTCTGGTCTCAACATCCCAAAGGTTTCTGTCTTTTAAACTTTAGAGTTTAAACAAACAAGAAAATACAAAAAATAAAAACTGATTTAATATTTTRTTATTTCATCACTGAAACACTGAAGTTATTTTTATTGTTAATTCATTCGTTCATTTCAGATTTTTAAAATAAAACTCAGACCTGATCTGAATAAATTAGAATAATGTTATAATAATATACGCTGATGTTTTGCTGCTAAAATCTAAAATAATCTTTATGTTTCACTCTCCATGAATACATTTCTTCCTTTCAGGTCATACAAGTCTAAAAAGGTTCATTTTTAAATTAATTTTGTTTTTAATCAGGACAAATGAGAAAACTAAAACCAGTTTATGATCATAATGAGCGCATGTTAATGACGTCAGATCGGAGAGATTTAAACTTCAGAACAGCTACTGCGCATGTCACAGATTGTCATGATGCCTTCACTGACCCTAAGAAAATACATCTTCAAAATAAGAGCTGTGGGTTTTWGAACATGTTGATTATTATTCATCCTTTCCTGCTTCGTCCTTTCAGGGTCACTGGTCCCCAGATCCAGCAGACTGTGGGAGAGGTGGGGGCACTCTGGACATGATTATTTGTTTGATTTATACGTCTATTC